ACAGCTGGCTCTGCCTCTAGATAGGCAGAGCCAGCTGTCACTCAGGCAGCTGGGCGGATCCCGACATCTACGTCGGGATCCGCTCCGGCTGCGGCGTCTCAGTATACCGCGAGCTGCAGCTCGCGGTATACTGAGCTTAGGGTAACGGGAGGACGCTAGTTTGTGTCCTCCCGTTACCCTAAGGAGAACTATGGGGAAAAATACTGACCCCATAGTTCTCCTTTAATGTGCTGTGATTTCACAATTCACTTTTTTTTGTTCACAGGGGAAGTTTGTCTACAACGTATGCACTGCAGAACTGAGCTATCAGCCTGACAGCCCTGGGTCCTGCTCTGCATTGACTTATGAATAATAACCGCTATTGTAGCTCCATTCATATATTACTCTGGGGCTGGGTTCACACCTGGGCGTTTTTCAGCGCTGATCGAAGCGCTGAAAAACGCTCAGCAAGTGAAATCCCATAATTGCCTATGGGCAGGGTTCCCACCTGGGCGTCTTTCAGCCCGTGGAAAACGCGCTGAAAAACGCCATACGCCCAAACAAGTACAGGAGCTTCTTTGGGGCGTTTTTCCGCGCGTATCCATTAGTATTCCCGAGTGTGGCTCGGGGTTAACAAAGCGGTAAACCCCGAGCCACACTCGGGGATACAGCGTAGGACTTACCTTGTCAGCGATCCCCGCTGTGTCCTTCGGCCGCTGACGACTTCCGGGTTCCGTCCCTTGCGAGCGGCTGCGTCGCAGGGGGGCGGAACCGGCGGGAAGTTTTAAAAAAAAAACCCTGAAAAAAAGATACAGAAAATAAAGGAAAAAAAATTAAAAATCATACCGCCAGGGAGGTATAAAAACGAGCGTCGAACGCGCGTTTCACTGAACGAAAAAAAACGTGCTAAAAAAACGAGCAGAAAAAACGTGCCTATGGCGTAAACCCAGCCTTATGTGTAGATAAAAAATATAAACAAAAAAACTTTTTTAAACCAATATTTGAGTCCCTTATTAATCCTTAGGAAACCCCAAATTAGTTTTTATGAGCTCATTCTTTTCCTTCTTTTTTGGCTGATTTTTTAAATTATTTATATGGAAACTTTCAAGATTTGCGTACGTTTGTGTTTGTAGCGCCAAATAATTTTTTTTTACAATTGAGTTGCAATTTGGAAACCTCTTGAGTGCCAGAGGACATTGTCCCGGAATTTGCGGTGAAGAAAATCAGGCATATATTGCGACTTCTCTCACCTCTTGAAAATAGTCCCCTAGGTATTTTAAAGAGTAACCCCGGGGATTTCTTTAATTAACCCTTGCAGTGAGGCTACCCACGCAGTGCAAGGGTTAAGTGCTTGTTTTTTGCCTAGGGGGTGAAGATAAAGAAGACATACTCACCTGATCCTCGGCCCCACCTGGCTGCTAGACCGTTCTCTGCAGCCTCTTTTTTCCCCAGGCTCCGGCGGTCTAAGGACCCGTGATGTCATCACATCTAATACAGGTTCATTAGACAAGAAGACGCCAAGGGACATACCACAGCCAAAGCGAAAGGGTAGAGAGGTGATTGCTGTCTGCCACAGGACTGAGGATTGGGTGAATACATCTTCTGTATTTTTGCCCCAAGACAGAAACGACCACTTAACCCTTGCGGTTCCGGTGCAGCCCCCGCTGCAAGCGTTAGGTTGAAACAATCCTCAAGTTCTATTTCTTAACCTTTTCTCAAGTCAGTTTTGTATGTTTGCCAAAGGGAAGCAGTTCCGTGAAGGAAGAAAGTAAAATCATTTTTTTCCCTTCCTGTTGAAGTGTAAACGATGCGATAAGTCTCGTCAATGATTGCTGGTGGCAATGTCAGGCTGTCTTTCATCATATGAAGAGGGTGTTGAGTGAAAGAGTTACAGAGGAGATATAGGTGAAAGGTGAAAACAATGTATGTGAAAGGACATTGTGAAAAGTGAAACATTGTGACCATACCAGTTCTGGTGAGAAGGGACTATAGGGATTAAAGAGTCCTCCAGCTGAATCGGTGTATAGCACGGTGAAGTCTTCTTAGAACAGAAGGTATCACATGACTCATTTCATCACATATCCCCAAAATTAAGAGGATTTTTCCTCATTTCACTGGGTGGAGCAGTGTCGGATTAAGAGCATCATGGGCCTGGTGCTGTCGGAAGGCAGCAGAGGCGGCTCTCTAATTAGGCGGCTGCTCGCTCCTGGGGTCTCCTCGCTTATTAGAGAGCCTCTGGTGCCTCTGGTTGATTGTGTTCAGCCTGGCTGGCCCAGATTGCCATTGGGCATACCAAGGTGATCCGGGCTGGCTGTGCCTATATTAGCCTATAGTAGCCCCTATGTTAATCTGGCCCTAGGGTGGAGCTATGCAAATTATTGTTTTACACCCCAAAAAGCCAAACACACCGCCAGAACTGCTAGTGTATAATACAAATATAATGGAATATTATAGAGTCGGTTATTCCAAGCTGCACACAGCTATTTTTCTTTTTGAAGTTCCACGGTGTGTGCATCGTAAAAACCCCTGTGACAGTGAAATCACCACACACAAAATAGTGCACAAGGGTGCTGGTTATCTTCCGAAGAAGAGGGCTACACTATCTCTGAACCAGTGGCGTAACCAGAGTTATTGGCGCCCCCCCCATATTATATAAACATCCACTAGAACTGTACCCCCCACCCCCACACATATATATCATCTGACAGGCGCAAGGCACTCTAGTCCACCTAGCGGATAAGCCGGGCAGACCCAGGACCTTAGGGACTTGCCAAAGCTGGTCCTCCAAGTACTAGGGGATTCCCTGAAGAGAGACACCAGAGTGGGGGAAGGAAAAAGACCAGTGAAGGCCAAACATCCTCCTTCTCAACATCTGGGCAGGCACACGAAAGACCTGTAACTTCCGTCGCCTGTGGAGTGAAAGTGCTTGTGCAAAAAATAAGTGTTAAGGACACAGCAGGTCTTGTGGCCCGTATTAAAATTCTTCCAGACTTGCCAGAAGGGCTGCCTAAGAGGCGTGTGCAAGGAAAGCAATATAGTGATGTGACCATGTGCCAGGTGCCACACTGTGGGGCCCCATACCCAGTGTGTTTCTCTGGCGCCTATGGGACACCAACCTCAGGGGGTACATTACCGGGAGCACCTTGTGCTTCCAGCCCCTGGCAAGACAAGGACAGCCCTATTCCTATCAGAAGGTATTAGCATGGGACGAGTTCCTGCCTACAACTTGGGACCAGTCTGGTGCACCACGCCAGAATCAGAACAGGAGGAAAAGGAAACCCCCGTAGCATCCTGTGATGGACTACAATCTCAATATGAATTAGTACACTAAATGTGAGATTGTTTCCCAGACAATCAGAAAGCTGGGCGGCAAGTCATTACACGGAAGTATCAGCAAGTATCGGGAGCATCGGGAGCATTTGGGCGTATTTTATTTCACAATATGTTCCCAAATTTAAAAAAATCATTGATACTTCACCTCCTAAATGCAGCTAAGAGCCTTATCCTCAAATATTGGAAAGTCTCTAGACCACTACCAGTGGCTGAATGGATATTGTGAGCAAATAGGATACGTCTGATGGGAGAGACTATGAAACTTATTGCAATACTTGGCGAGCTGGCTACATAATTAAAACTCAGATTTCAGTTAACCTGAGAAATGGTTTCATATCTGAGACAAACAGTCTCAGAACATGTTACATTATATACTTATCAACATGGATATGATATGGCCTAAATCAGTGGTTCTCAACCTATGTAATCTCAGGACCCACATTTGTCCTTGGTCATTAAGTCGCGACCCAAGTTGCACTGTGCACACACACTCAGACATTCTCACACGCACATACACACTCCAAAACAAATTATATATTTTTTGAAGATTCACCCAGTCTCCCTACCTTATGAGAACTGGAGTGGATCCTCCACTCCAGTTCTCCAGATTGTTTGTACAGCTCCCTTGCCCGCCCTGTAGAGGTGCCAGGAGCCAGAATGTGACGCCAGTCCTGTCAAGTCACCTCTACAGGGTACATATGGGAGCTGTAAGAAATGCACATATGGATGGAGCTCCCTTATGGCCATAATTCCAGCCCAACTCAAGCTGACCTGCAGGACTGGGCAGAATATTTTAAATGCCTGCTCGGCACGAGAACTGAATGTGATGCGGGGGAGGCTGAGGAGTGTCTCACCTAGATAAGTGGAAGGCATGTGGCGACCCACTGAACATGGGGCCGCGACCCACTTTTGGGTCACGACCCACCAGTTAAGGGCCTAAATAAACAGGGGTCATTGTATGACTGGTGACCCATATATTAGAACAGAAATATAACCCCTCTCCATACCTAATGTTACATTTTCTGTTGAGAAATCACACTACCCTTGATGTAAGTTTTGTTTATTGTGTGAATAAAAAGGTAATAAAACTTTATTAATAGGAAAAATGTAAAACAGTTCCAAGTCAACAACAAAGACACTTGATGTATGACCCTTGACACTTGATGTATGACCCTTGGCGTATCTTGGGTACATAATTTTCCAGCTGTCCACAGTACTAATATTGTGTCTTCTTGTCTTTTCAGATGGTGACGCTGTTGTCACTGTGTGGCAGCCAGTGGAGCCTTTGGTTTGGCTCCTCTGTCCTTTCGGTGGCGGAAATGGGTGAGTTGGTTATCGATGTAGTTATAATCAGTGTGATCATCCTCCTTCAGCGTTACCGCAACCGCAAGACACCATCTGTAGAAGACACAGGGAGCGATCCACCCCCCGACCCCTCTTTTGGACCAACCGAACGAAGAAGCAGTCACATGCCACACAACATCCCCTGCCAGACCCAAATGAGTGTGGTGGCCGACATCACTCCCCCGCCGGCCTACGAGACCCTCGATCTCAGCTCTCTGGGAGGTGGGTCCTCTCGATCATCCAGCATTCGAAGCCACGTGTCTCAACGTAGAAATTCTGGCTGGAGAGGCGAATGAGGAGAGGGGTGATTACAAGCAGAGTATGAAATGAGTGCACAATGGGTGGTGTGAACTGAGAGAGTATGAGGGGAAAATATCACGACTGCACACAAGAAAGGAAAACAAATTGACCTAGTTTCTCTTTGTAGTGGAAGAAAAATTACATGGTCATTAGGTTAAAAACAAAGTACACTGCTCTGGTATTTAACCTACACTGTCCTACATTTAAGCTTATTATTAGAACTTACATTGGGTCATCATGTATGGCTTGGTTCACTGCTTCATACAATACATACAGTATGACAATAATTAAACACTGTACAATGCAACCTATGACCCCAAACTAAAAATGCCGTTATACATGTGTATGCAGTAGCCTATATGCAGAAAATTGTAATGTCATGCAACTGGAACAAACCATAGCAGAGCCATCTCAAATTCTGATTAAGTAAGACTAGCATGAGAACACATGGGGGTGGGGCACTGATATACAGAGATAAAACACTGAACGACCACTTCACTGATAATAGATGAATTCTTATTGGTTGATGTTCATTTCCAGTCGTATTGCATTGCCCTTTGCCTTATTAAAGGTTACTTGATTTCTGTATTTCTATCTAAAAATGTGACATTTCATAAGCCTTGTGTTAGAAATCATAATGAATGAAAGTGTCAAGATGAGCCTCTTCAATATGAGAACTACTGCTTTGAAACAAGACATTTTCTAAGCACCAATGCCTTTTAAAAGAATCACGGTCTTTCATAACTTAGTACAAGTGCATAAAGAGTTTACCGTCATAGCCCAGTGGGCTGCCAAATCCAGCTAACACGTTAAATGCCTTTGAAAAGACTTTGAAATGTTATTACCTGAAAATCACCATTAAAAACGCATACATAACAGATTCAGTCCCGGCTTCTATACGGAGTAATCAGAAACCAAAAATCAAACCTTACATGAACCCTTGCTTGCTAAAGAAGGCTCCACTGGTGACCACACAAACTGAGCCTGTCAATCAGTGAATTCATATTTATCAGGGCACATTCACACCACATGCAGATCATCTCCAGACCAGACCAGATTGTTTCTGGACCCAAAATGTATCCTAATGTATCCTTATGTTATTTCTGGCCTCTGTTCACACCAGCGCAGTCCGTTCCAGACCAGAAAAATACTGCATCTCTCATTTTGTCTGGTCTGGAATGCACTGGAACTGCGGGCAGGTTGACACCATTTTCCGAACCAGATCTGGTCCGGAAAATGGTGTCAACCTGCCCTTAGGGCCTGTGCCGATGGGCTTTGGACTTGTGTTAAGAGCACTAGTTTGACATCAGTTAAATGTTCCTGAGATCATATAGAAAACATTGACCATTGCTTTTGACCTGCAGTTGACCACCTGACCTGCATCAAGCTGTGTTTTGTATTCTAATAGACTTGCATGGGAATGCAACACCTGTGTGGTGTGAACAAAAGAACCCCAACACAGGCCCTTATACATACAAGATGACTATGTTAGGGCATGTGTTAGGCTTCTCCCCTCTGTGTGGTTGCCCGGGGTCTTTGCTTGACCGTGTGTTTTTTTTATCGAAAACTCTGTCTAGCCACAAACTTTCAAGCCACATCTCAGAATGACTGTTCTTCTCTTTAGACTCTGTCTTTGTTGTTTTTGCATACGAAAGCATGGTGTCTGCTGGTCGGGAAATTTTCCAACATGTTGTAAAAAGTTCCCGTGGGATAACGGTCGCCTGCAGCCACTAGATTTAAAAAGTTACAAAATCAAGAGCCTTGCTTTTATTTATTAAAGTTTTAATGAGCACTATAAAAAGTCATCATAGTTCAAGCTCTGCGGATAAAATGGTCTAGAGCCTCATCTAGACATCCGTTGGATTAATTGGCAAACATTCTCAGCATATCTAGTAAAAGTTCCTGAAATTCTAAGAATTGCCAAAAAATATGTCCTTACCTGAGCCAAATATTTCCAGAGACACTCCAATTACATACATGTAAGGGCAGAGCACCTTGGCAATGTCTAGGGCCTGGAACAGTCCTGCCAGTTGTTAGACCAGTTAGTATGGCTGGTGGGGTAAAAGTTTTATTTCGGTCTGTAGGTAATAACATGGGACACATAGTAAAGATACATAGGTCAAATATAATTTTTAGAAAATAGGTCAAACATCTGATTTTGTTAAATGTCTTTATATAGTTTAAGATTAAGAAGAAGAGGTCAATCACTAGTTTTATAGTTTAGATTTCAATCATAAATTCTAAATAATGATTGTTTGCATTATTATTTGTATCTATTGTTTTAGATTCGATAGTAGATTATCTTTATCTGTAAATTGTTACAACAATGGAACCTCCAATGTGTTTGTTCAGCTGAAGCCACAAAATGCCACCGTTAACAGGGGTCCTTAGAGCGACTCATCGAGCACCAAACTCAGCTTGCCAATAAGTGTTCTCTGAAAAGAAGAAAGGAAGTAATTTTCCTGCTGGTTGCACCACCAAACATTGCCCCATTGAAGAGAAATCCCCAACAGAAGCTCTCTTAGAAATCGACTGTAGCAACCCCCTGAACCCCTAAGCCTTGACAGGGTACCAGAAGCAGAATGGGCTAGCATTTCTCCTCTGGGTCTGGTTCTCTGCAGTAGAGGAGCAATGTTAACAAACAGACGCCAGTCACTTTTACATGCAAGCAAAGAGTTTATTGACTTTTACTCAACACTATTGTGTGTTAGGGATCAGAACACCTATGGACCGGCAGACTCCCGAAGAGAGGGACAAAAAAGTATTTACATCCTCTACAGATCCTGACTCGGGATTCTGTGAAATCAGCTGCTGGCTGTAAGATACTGGATGCTGCATCTAAAAAACTCATTGGGGAGAATTCATCTTACTTCAGTCAAGGACCAAGCTTCTCAGGTAACCCCTTCAGGCTGAAGTTCCTCCATAGTATCTCAGTCCCCTGGCTCTACATACCAGGCCTTAAACCAAGGCCTCGTCCAAGCACAAGGCAGGCAGGAGTCCTAGGAGGATAAGACATAAAACTGCATCCATTCCCCAGGCAGAAGGCCCGGGGGGAAGGCTGACTTCCCAAGGTCACTCTTGAATATTTATACCTTCTCCCAGCCTGCACCACTGGCAATACACCTCCTAGTGATTGGCCAGGAAGGTATAAACATTCATAACTCTGATTATTACAGAATCTCACACTATTGCCAGGGATAGTCCCCAGTATCAGGCAAAAGCAAACAATGACTAGAGTCTTGGAGAGACTCATGAGAGCCAGACTATCAATCAGACTCTGGCGGACTACAGTCCAACAGCCTTTAAATTTAAATATACGTTCCTGTTTAGGGCATGGTGGCTACATGACCCTTCTGGGAATGTAGATCTTCTGGTCCCCCACTACATTCATTGGTTCCTCCTGTCAACCCCCATGTGTGCTGAAGTGACAGAAGTGGGGGGAACCACTATAGTCAGGGATCTCTCTCTCTCTGAGTAGGGTTCGGTAACACTGCTGGCAGGAGAGGTAAGTATTTACTTTCTTCTTTTAATTGAGCACTTTTATGGGCAAGTTGAGTTTGGCAACACAATCCATTTAAACAGACACTGTGCCCATCCAGGGAAAATGATGGTGTCAGTGTAAAGCCACCACACGACCCATAATGCTCACCTTTCCATTGATCCCTCACCACTCCTTCATAAGTCTCGGCACAAAGCGCCCATTGCTTCTGGGTATAGAGAACCATGCAACCTCCTCCCAGATGCAGTGGTCAATTACTAGGCCCGAACACTGCTACATGATGGAGAGGGAGCAGTCACTATTCCCTCTAGACTCAACATCAGCCAACACTGGGTAGTTGGGTGGCAGCTTCAAAGGTTGAATGAGCATTAGGGTACTGCTAGAGAGATAAGTATCAGTGGGTCAGTGGGGGTTGCCCTGAATAAGCAAAGCAAGAGAGTCTCTTTAATAGAACCTGTGAGCGCCCATGGAAGAGGAAGTCATTTTGATTTTTGTATGAATTAATGCAAAATAAATTAAAGGGAGAAATGAAAGCTGAACTCAAATCAAACATCTACATAACACGGTGAATCACATATAAGGCAGCTGCTTTACCTTCCAAAGCATTTGTATTTCTGTCCATCCCAGGCCTGAGATTTGCACAAGACAGCCAGGGCTACCATTGAGAAATACAGTGTTGTCCTCTCTCCACCAATAGCCTGCTGAGTGGACAGTGAAGTAGCAGCAGCAGCAGACTGATGAAGTGCCCTCTCTGCTCATCCAGTTCTCGCCTCCTATCAGCATGTTCCTTGTTAGCATATTTGCATGCGTCCTCCCAGTGCCCTGCCCCCACTTCCTAAAAAAAGTAATCTAAGGATTTATTAAATAATATAAAAAGCTTCATTCATTTGTGTCTTTCCTATGTGCTTAGAGTTCAGCTATAATTGGCTTGCGGAGGGAACATGTGATTAATCATTGATTCATGAACCTATTCAATTACTGCAATTCTGTGGCATCAGTCTGTAAAATTAATTGGCATAATATTGACTTCTCAAGAAGTCAGAGTCACGTACCAGAGCTGCTTTCACTTTGCACATTGGCTGTAGCCTCACTTCACTGTATTAGGCGTATTCATCTACACTACAATAATCCGTGTTATTGTATCTTTTATGTTTATTGCTGGGCTTGCACTTTTTTGTTCACTGTAGCTGTTTGGTTGATATATGTGTGGTGATGATAGGTTCCAGCATCATGTATTTCTAACTGCAATATATCGCTATAAATACGTCACAAGTATTTTAAATGCCAATTCAGCGTGTGCGCCTAACGGTGGCTTCTCACCTACGGTTCATGACCTAGAAAACAGCTGCCCTGCGTTTAGCTCAGACCACGGGTTTCCTCTTTAAAAGGTACAAATTTCCTACTAGCTGTGTTTTGCTGGTGTGCTAATTAATTAGGCGGCTCTGCCCTGTATGTAGACTGCAGATGCGTGAGTCCACCCAGAAGCTGACATTTCATTTATAGGAGGATGCATGTAGGTGGAATAATCCTCTGCCTATTTCATACCGGGTCACCGCAACCCTGAAAGAGAAGCAGTCACTAGCGGGCATTTGTTACCATAGGAATATACACACTTATAATATTACAGCTTTTTCTATCAGAGCAAAGGCTGTAATATTATAT